TTGATGGCAGAAGCCACTCTCGGCCCCTCTGCAGACTCCTTCACTTCCGTGTGCTTGTGTGTTGTAGTTTGACAACCTGAGCCACCTTTTCATAAACCAAACATGAGTGTTCCTTAAAATCGTCCTGCCAATAAACTGACATGTTCTAATTCCTTCCAAGGTGACTTTCTAGCCAGGCTGGATTTGAATGGATGTGATGATATTTTTGTTCTTATTTGACTGTACCATTGCACTTTTGTCCTTGCTGCTTAATAAAACAAAAGAAAAACAAAATGTGAGAAGCAGAAGTTCCCCCAAACTTAAAACAGATGGATCAAAGGTAGACGTGCTGAAGTTGAGGAATCTTCAGTTTGCATTGACACAGCCTTTGGAAAGAAGCCAGGCAAATCCTGATCCAACTGAGGAGAAAATGAACAATTTTTTTTTTAAAGTCAGAAATGTTCTCATTAAAAATTTGGCTTGAATATTGAGACATAATTAGGAAACTGAAAATAACTTTCTTAGAGAAAATATTTTTTTTTATGGTGGGCATATTTTTGCATACCTTTAGAATGTTCGGTTTCTGAATCTATTCTCAGGGGCAGATTCAAAAGAGGTCGCCAATCATGGAATGATAGTGAGAAGGTCATTTCCCATACCCTTTATTTGAACAAGCAGGGTGACAGTCAGTCCTGCTTAATTCTGTCCTCTGGTGGTGGCACACCATCCAGAGAGCCATTGTCTCGTGTTCCTCAGAGGTAAGTGGGGTGTTGATTAGACTCTTTGCTAACTCTGGCACTGGAGATGCAAATGTTTATAGCTGGGTCTCCACCCCAGTGAGGGCTTTCTGTTTGAACTCTTACCAATGGCTCTCATAACTTGCCTTCTTCAAGTTACTTAGTCTGGTGGTTAATTAGACTGTGATCTGATGATAAAACAGCCAGGATCCGAGAAGAGTATGGAGGATGGTTAATAGATTAGGCTAAAGTACAGTTAAATATCTCTGCATCTTTTCACTTTAAAAGTTTCATTCAACATTTTACTCTGAGATAATTATAGATTACATTTAGTGATAAGAAATACTACACAAAGATCTGGTACCCTTGACCCAGTTTCTCTGGTAGTAACGTCTTCCATAAATAACAGTACAATACCACAAACAGGATTGATGTTGATACACTAAAGATATATAAGTTCCTCACCATGACGGTCCCACAGGTTGACCCTTCAGAGCCATACCTACTTCTCTTCATAGCCCTCATCCATGGTCTTCAACAACCATGGATCTGTCTCCCATGTCTATAATTTTGTAAGGATGATGGATAGGCCTTGGAGGGTAGCCTAGTAGGCGCAAGGCCTTGGGTTCCATCTCAGCATTGCAAAATGTGTAATCCACTGGGTTTACTTTTTGTCTTCCCGCCTCAGTGAAGGTCTCTGGAGAACCATTCCAGTAGTTGCATCTGTCAATTGCTCATATATTTTATTGTTAAGCAGCATTTCAAGGTATGGCTCTACCATTGAACCATTCACCCATTGAAGGGCATATGGGCTGTTACTGGGTTTTGTTATAAACAAGGCTGCTGTGGACGCTCATATGCAGATGTTTTGGAAGGCTACAATTGGGATTTCTGTGTTTCAGTTCCTGAGTGCAGCTGCTGGTCATCTGTGGCTTGTGTGGTTCTTTTCAAGAAAATATCACTTGTTTTTCAGAGAAGTAGCACCATTTTACGTTCCCACCAACAGTGTATGGGTGATCCATTTTCTCCACATCCTTCTCAGTATTTGATGGCAGTACCATTGTTGTCGTCATTTCAGCTGATCTGACAGTTGTAGAGTGATACCTCATGGAGTTTCAGTTTAAGCTTCCCCATTGGTGGTGTCCTTGGACATCTTGCATGGGCTTTGGGATTCTTTGTATCCTCTTTGATGAAATGCCTTTTCATGGCTTTTGATCATTTGGATTTATCCTGTTTTAATTTTTTAATGTTGAGATTTGAGAGTTATTTGTCTACTCCATAAATAATGTGACCTCCTGGGTCACATCTGGCTTGCAAATATTTTCTCCCAGTCTCTGGCTTTGTGTTTTCATCGTTGTAAAGGGGTCTTCCATATACGAGATTTTAATTTTCATGAGGTCCATTTTAGCAAGTCTTCTTGGGGGATGGTTCTGACATCGAGTCGAAGTATTCTTCTTCCAACATTTCTTTTTCCTAAAAATGCCTGTACTTTTATTGTATATTTAAGTCCGTTTTCAGATACTTTTTGCATAAGGAGCCTTTGAGTGTTCCAGTCAAGGTGGGTTTGTCTGGCCCTCACTTCTCCTGTGGGTGTGCACGGCTCTTGCACCATTTGGTGAAAGGTTATTCTTCCTCACTCAGCTGCTTTTCCACCTCAGTCAATGTTTTAATATCCCTGGGTGGATTCAGTAGCTCTGCAGGATGAAAGCTAATAGAACTGACGTTAATTACACTCTTACCTCTGGGTATTTAAGAAATAACAGAATTCTCTTCTATTTAATTACAGCATTAACTTTTATTAAACCAAACAAAAACTGACAAACAAAACCCCAAACCTATTCTCATGACCCAGAGAAAACATTGTTAACATTGGTGTATGTTTTGTCTTTTTTCATACATTTGAGTATAGTGGAGATCATGGCGTAAATAAAGTTTTATATTCTGCTTTCCCCATGGCATATTATGAACTCTCTCATGTCATTAGAAATTCCTTCTGGAACTTGTTTCAGGTGAGCTGCCTAGTTATTCTGTTGCTGGATAACATATGTATTTGTCGCGAGGGGACAAAATTGCGACGTATGTAGTCAAGGGGGAGAAATAAAGAATGTCCACGCACTTCTGCCCTTTTCAATGCTTTATTCACTCAAATCACTCAATACAATTTCACTCTATAGGTTCCTATTTAGGAAAACAACAATCCTTAATGCCAGGCACTGCATAAGACATAATCAATTCACAGCAAACAATTCTAGATTAATTAATTCTAAGCACACACTTAATCATGACACACTAATGTCAGACATTCCCTTTGCATGCTAGGTTCAAAAGTCTTAAGCCTTAGGCTTTACATCCAGCAGATGCACACTCACTCAGACCTCTGTGATCAGGTCCGGAACCCAGGCAGCCTTCTCCTGGCGTGGAGTGGACAGCCGGTTGAGGAGAGGATCATAGGGAGAAGTTGCGGCTCTCACCAGGGCAGTAGAGTTTGAGAGCAGTGAGAATCATGCAGAGAATCAGGAAAATGATGACAAGTGATGGGATGTCAGTCTAGGTCCTCATCAGGCTCTCCAGCTCGAATGCATCCTTGTTTCGGCTGGCTGAATCCCTGTTCATTAGCTCTATTGTTTATACTAAATTTGGGGGCTTTTGACCCCCCTTTCAATCCTTATCAGCTACAATGATCTCCATGACATCATTTACCATGGGGTCAGAAACATCTGGTCTGGTGGTCTCCACCTTGATCTTCTCACCTTTTCCTCTTATCAGGCGAGATCAGCCTGCCAGAGGCTTCACTCTCTCAGGGTGGGGGGAAAGGACTCGTTCATGTCTGAGGCCATACTGGAGGGCTCTGTTAGGTGTGCCTGTGAGACTGCAGTTTTCAGGCCTAAGGCCACCCTCGCATTATTATACGTGTAGTATAATTTACTGAATACATATTATATATACTCTCTGCATTATTATGGCTTTTCTATGATGACTATCTATGTTATCTTATAGATGTAAAATATATATCATGTATTGCATATCATAATATATACTGCTATTTACTATATTTCTGTGTACCACATTTACTGTATGTAATAACTACCTATGTTACCCTATGGATGAGTAACATACATTCTATTGTATATTACAGAAGTATTATGATTTACTTTGTGACTCCTTATTGTTGAAGATTGAGTAGTTTCTATTTCTCATCATTATAAACAACTGCTAACATTTTAGTGTCTGTTTAGTGGTATCAGGCACATTGCTAAGCCTCCGTATTCAGAACCAAACTTCAGAGAAGAGTGGATCCACTTTCTTTTTACCATACCAAATAAGATAATTAGTGGGACAGAAGAGTAAACTGGAAAATATTAAGCCTTGCAGACAAATACTAACAAAGAAGAACTCCCCCCACCGCCCCAGCAAGACTTGTAAAAAGTATTTTAAATTGACTTGATTTTGGTTTGAATGACCAAATGTTTGACATAGATTTTGTTCTGTTTCATTTTAGAGGTTCTTAAACATTATAGTTCATGCAGTTTATTTATAGGTAGAAATTACAAAACCACACGTGTTGCTTTGAAGATAGTCAAAGATCGTCATGATGACTGAACAATTGTCACGCACCTGCTCTAGAATATGGAATTTCTCTTTTGTGCACTATGTATCTTTGCCTAGGATAAATCCCCTTCCGTATTTATTTATTTATTTAATACAGGGGATTGAACCCAGGGTGTTCATCCACTGAGCCACATCCCCAGCCCTGTTTTTAAAATCTTGAGACAAGGTCTCCTAAGTAGCCCACGTTGGCCTTGAACTTGGAATTCTCCTGCCTCAGCCTCTGAAGTTGTTGGTGTTATAGTGCATACCACCTCTGGTCTAAATCTTATTCATTTAAGGTCTTTGTCAAATAGCCTTTAAAAATCTGAGCTGCAGCCTTAGTTTGTAGCCCTTCAGCATTGACCAAATTTCCTAAGCATGAATCTGGTTGGTGTTGATTAACCAATTGTTTGCTGGCCCAGAAACTTGCCTTCAAATAATGATTTTCTTTTGATTTCAGTAACTGTTTTCAGTAATAGTTTTCCATTGTGGAAATAATATAGGTTTTTAAATGTTTATTTTCCCAAAGCAACCTCAAATTTCTGGCTTGTGGATATTTCACAGGTGAAAACATTAAAAAAAAAAAGAAAGAAAGAAAAGAAAGAAAGAAAGAAAGAAAAGAAGTGCAAATATGCAAATGATGGTAGCAGCTGAGTCATTGGAGATGCCCAGCTCAGTCTTTCTCTTTCCTTCCAGATTTATCAACGATGCTGGTTAGTGTTCAAGAAAGCTTCAAGCAAGGGTCCAAAAAGACTGGAGAAGTTTTCCGATGAACGTGCTGCATATTTTAGGTGTTATCATAAGGTAAGACTTGTTGCTGCAGCTTCAGAGAAATCTGTTTTCAAGGAGGTAACTTGAATTGATTGAGTCTGAAAACTCATCTAAATTATTTAACGAGGATCCTAATAGTGATTTTTTTTTTTTTTTGTGGTGCTGGGAATTGAACCCAGGGTCTTGTGCATGCAAGGCAAGCACTCTACCAACTGAGCTATGTCCCCAGCCCTCTACTAGTACTTTTGACATGGACAAACCATTCCTATAATAACGATTATTTGCTAATTGTTTAAAATAATTTACTCATGTAAAGTGGCTCTTGTGGTCTTCTACTCTGTGTTGTTGTTTTCTTTCTATGACCACGTTGCTATGTGATTTTTCTGCTTAAGTAGACCCTCCTCCGAAGAGCAAGCCCCCCGAGGGAGTGGATCCCCTGTGTCTCACACAGTGCCTGATGCAGAAGAGATACTTGTTCACTTGGGGAGGGCCGGGAAGGAGCAAAGACAGATGATGGGGAAGAGGACCCCCATTAGTATGTTTCTCCAAGTCTCACAACTAAAGTTAATTCAGATTTGTAGTTTTCTTAGTGAAACTTTATCACTAATAGTACTAACTAAAACGTATTATTGAGGAATAGAGTGCTAAGGCAAATATGAGATTTACTTACTGTTCAGATTCACAAATTCGGCAAGTCTTCCCTGCTACGTGGCAGTATTTCTCAGGCCCTTGTTAACACGTGGCCTGTGTATTTCCTTTTTCATGATAATGTGTAGAGTGTCTGGTTAATGCTCTCCCGGGCACTGGTTATTCCCATATTGAGAAAATACTACTCCTGTCTATGGAGGACCTGTGGTTATTTTTATGATAAAATGTTTTGATTTTGGATTCCCACTTTGAAGACTCTTTCATCTTCATTTGGTGAGAATTCACTGGGGCAGGCTTTTTTGCCATTTAAAATTTTATGTGAAGCCAGTAGATCTGTTAACTCAGGCCTTGGCTATGTGGGGAAGTGAACAGGCTTCCCTTTTGCTCAAATTCTTTAGAAGTAATGACTACACAGCATCGGATAAAAGGCGTGCGCTGACACCTCTGTTTATGCAACGTGAAAAGCAGTAGCTGTATATCCCTACCACCCATCATGCTGGGGATGGAACTCAGGGCCTCATGTGTCCCAGGCAGATGCTCTACCATTGAGCTACACTCGTTGCCCTCTACTGCTTCTCAAATTAGAGAAATAAAGTGTTTGCTATGCTTTATGAGCTCATCTGCACATTCATGAGAAAAGAAAGGACCTAAGTTATGAGTCCAGATTTCCTCTACCATTTATCTTCCATATGCTGGATATTTTCACTCAGGAAGGAGTTACTGAACTGCACATCTATTACTGAGGAGCAGTGATCCACAAAGCCAATGAACCTTCACAAGCAGTCTTAGTCAAGCTGTCCATTTCTGTCACACTGGAGATTACTGGTATCTAGTCATTTGGAGCCAGATATGTTGCATGCCACTTATCTCATGGGTACCCAGTATCCTACCTAATAACAAGGTAGAAGGGTGCTGTGGGAATGCCTTGTTGCAGTTTTTCTTGAGAGTCATGCCCTTGGGTGGGGAACTCCAAGTGCCCAAGCAGGTATCTATTCATTTTTTGGAAAAAGATGGAGATTAGGTAGCCAGAAGTTATAGTTAGGCTTCAGCTCTTCTCTTGAGAACCTCAGCCAGTATATAACTTTACATTCAGCGTCCTGCCCTTGTATTCTCTGATAGTGTATGGCCATTGATGTCCTTATGTCCCTTTGGAGTGATTTTGATATCACTCCAAACATAACCCATTATTCCCAGTCCCCACGTTACTAACTTTCTGAGTGCAGAAACCTAGCTAGACAGACTGTGTTCTCTGGACATACCTGGGCATACCTACGAGAAGTGAGGACGGCTGTTTGGAATGCTCCAACCTAGTCCATCAGTACCTGGTGCGGGCTTGGTGTTCAGAACCCATGGAGACTGAACACTCCAACAACCTCTGCTGTCACCACTGGGCTGCTCATTCCTGGCCTGCCAGGTGCTACATCCCATCAGGACACTGTCCACCTCAAATCCCTGAGCCAGGTCCTTTCAGGGCCTTTAGGATCATGGGATTTGGCTCCTGTTGTCAGTTTAACCTCATCCCTCACTTTCTGCAGTCCCATTCGACTGCTCCAGGTACCTGGGATGCCTGCTTTCCTGAGAAGATGCCAGGCACACTCTCACCCTTGCTTTTCCTCTTTCCTGGAATTCCTCCCCTGCCCCCATACCCACCTCGCTTGCTCTCTTACTTCCTTCAGGGCATTCCTCACATTCCTCTCTGAGTGAGGCCATGCCTTGACCCCATTATCTAAAGTAGAATCTACCTTCACTCCTCTTCCAATCTCTGCTCTTTGTTCTCCTTGGCACTTTTTGTTGTAGTCACACATAGATGTTACCTGTCCACATGAAATAAGGTCCACAAGGACAGAGATTTTCTTGTGTGTGTGTGTGTGTGAGTGTTGCGGGTGGCAGGGGGGCATCAGTATCAATTACTAGTATCTAACACCTAGTAGACACTTTTTAAAGTACTGGCTAAAATGAAACAATGAATACTATCAATAAAGGAAACGGAATACATATAAATGTTGGTGTGCATGTATTTAGTTCACCAGAGGAAATCTGTAGTTGAGGCATCTGAAGATAGGAAAAGGAATTCTGCTTTGGAGGAGATAGGATGCATTAATGAATGAGAGTAGAAAAAGCCAGGGCTGGGAAGAGTTGGGCGGACAGGTTCAATGGAAAAACCCAAGTGGATTGAAAAAGTCTTCCTTGAATGTGTGAGGAGTGACAGGAGGTTGGAGACAAACTCATTCAGATTTCTACCTGCCGGCTTTGGAATTTAGTATGTAGATCTTTGGAGAACTTGGTAAGCTACACTCTCTTTCATCTGTCATGATCATTAACCAAAGTTCAAAGCATTAGGAAGGAGAGGAATTATCTACATTAAGCCTCGGAGCCCTTGATGAGTTGCTGTAGTTGATTCACCCTCCTGTGCTCTTTCCGATCTGATGCATTTAGTATTAATCTCTTGAAGGCATATAAAAAGCTGGAGTAATTCTGAGATATGCATTTTTTATCTAAATACTGTGTAATTTATGAATCTTGATCATAAAATACCAAGGTTATAAATAGCACACCGTGACCAGACTTCAGACTGTGTTCTAATATAAACAAAGCAATTTCCAAAACAAATGAGGAAATGTACATCATGCTCTCCATCTATATAGAGGTGGCCTGGCCTGCGTAGACAAGTCCCTCCTGTGGGAAATATGTAGTATTCGTGAAAGCACATTTCATTGTTAAAGATATTATCTTTTTTTAAAAAAATGCCAATTTTGTGTAACTGATTCTTTTAAGAAGTTTTAACATAAGAAATTGTGGATTTTTAAAACTTGGTGTATTCTGTACTGAGAAGGTAGCTGAGGGCACTCCCATGCAAAATTGGGAGATAAATATGTGAATAATGCACACAGGGAACAATTCCCTTTGCATTTCTTTACCTCCTGCATGGTGTGACACCCTGAGCTGTCACAGATGGCTCTGAATTTGATTAACTGTAATTGCAACAACATTACAACTCCAGCAACTGTAAAAATAGTTCCTGACCTTCTTGTTAAACTCTAACTCCCTGTTTTCATTCAGGAAACAAGCTGCTCACACTAGCCAGGAGATCAGGAGTTTCCTTGCATAGTTTTACCTTTTTTGGGGATGAGTAACAATTGGGACACAAGCTTAAGTGGAAGGAAGACCATCTGCTTTCCAAACTGAGGCAAATGGTGTGGCAGGAGTTGTGACAGCCTAGGATTTGGGAAACCTGGGTACTGGTCCCTGTGCATCTCTGTCAAGTTTCTTCTCTCTGCGTAAAGCTGATCCCCAAGGCACGTCTCACATTTGCTTCTCCGTTGTCACACAGTAATGAGCTAGGATGACCCAACTTATGGTGGACAAGACAATTCCAAGTCCTGTATTACAGTGTTTTCCCAAAGGTGTGCCAGAGTGAGGTGACAGAGACTGCAGTGTTCAGCAAGCTTTTTGGTCACAGAAATTTGGACTGCAACATTTACACCCCCATCTTTGAGATCCGTAATCCACTGCAGCTCTCATGGGCACTGAAAAGTTCCATGAAAATCCGAGTAACTTTGAGTCAGCACTTCCCAAACTGATTGGGCCATGGATTTTCTTTTTAATCACTTGTTCCAGGGAACGGATGACTTGCATGCCAAGGAGAGCAGTCTGGAATATGCTGCTCTCGTGCCTGACCTCTTTTATGAACTATCAACTTGATCCATTGTTTGAACAGTGAACAACTAGGGATGACTGTTCCTACTCCATCAAACAATCCCTTCTGATGTGGCTGCCTGCAATATGTCTTTTCAGATATCTTAAAATACGTCACAACATTTTCTTTCAATGCTCAAATACCTACTGTGGAGTCATCACTTGCTTGTACAAGAATTGACTCAGTAGATCATGTTCTGGAAGTTTCCTTTACTTATGGAAGAGGATGTGACTCCACACCTTCGTTAATGAAATTATAGCTTTACACTGATGCTTTTCCCAAAGAGTAAATGCTCCCATGTTCCCATTTCTAAGGTATTAGTACAGGAGGTTAACTATGATATTTAAAAACCCTCCATTTTTATGACCTGAGTACTTTTACTAGTCAGGGAGGTCCAAGTGTGTACCACAGTGCCAAAGCCTCCTGAAACATGTGCATAACTGAGATAACTCTGCTTCCTAACTGAGCCTGATTTCTCCCAGGGTTCCCTGTCTCATTGCATAGCAATTCTGTCATTCAAGACAGAAGCTAAGGAGTGGCCTGTGATTCACCCTCTTGTCCACTCCCAGATCCCCTCCACCTACAGGTTTGCATGCACTCTTCTCCTTCCATGGGTACCTTTCTTTCCTGGTCCATGTGGCAACATTGATCAATCCCTCAAAATGTCCACTTTGTCTTCACCTCCCTT